AAAAGGAGCCACCCCAGCCAGGCTGTGCCTTCAGTAAGGCAGTGGAGGTGTGACTTGAACGAGGGTAGTAAGGATGGTGACTGTCACACCCTCTAGTGAAGGGGTGACTCGACACATCCACCCTAATCCTGCCTCTTTAACATATCAGACAACTCACTCCCAAAGGGACCATAGCTGCAGGCAGAGAGGCCAGGATTCAAAACACGTCCCAGAGTGGTGGCTACTTACATCACAAAGTGGAGAACAGCCACCCCATCCCGGGAATCATGGCCCAGGCAGGGTGACACACATTTTGGAGACATGGCTCAGTCCATAACATTCCACTCTTAGTGCCACCCAAGCATTGTGTGGGAGTCACAGAGACCAGACCCTGGCGAGACGGGCCATATTCAGTAATTCACCGCAGCACGGAATTCTTCTTCAGGCAGGTCTGCCCACCTGAGCCCTTTGGGTGGGGAGATCAAGTTAACTACCTGCCACACAAAGCCAGAGCGTCTTCCCCCTGCAAGTGCTGTTTACGGCTTTGCAAACAAGGGGAGCAGTAGATGAGAGGCGGCAGGAAGGGGACCTCGGCTGGGCTGGGCGAAATCGGAAGGACAATCGATTGCTTCCTGTCTCGGTCTGGGAGCTAATGGGCATTGATGACTCAAATGTCTGATGACTCGAGGGATGAGGCTGCCGTACTGTTGGCCCTTTCTGGTTGTCACCTGGCATGCCACCTGTTCCCCAGAGGCCTGGGCCTCCTGGTGGCTAATGACTGTTCCTTTGACCTTCCGGCCTGATCTGCACTGGTGAACAGCAGCTGCCCATCAGCCAGGGGCCACCGCCAGGCGTGGCTCCCTTGGCTTGCTGGCTGAGCCCCATCTCCTGCCTCCCCTGCCCTGGTCCGGCATGAGCTTCGACCGGGTATCAGGGGTGCTCTCCTGCGTCTCGGTGACAGGGTGCTTCTCGGGAGGCGGTTGCTGCGGCCACCTCTGCCAGCTCCCAGCTCGGCTGCTCTGCGTCTCCCTCTCTGTTCCACGTCTCTGAGGCGGACCAGCACGTGTCAGCCACAGAGCAGCTGCTAGGCCACCCGGAGAATGCAGTCCTGCCTCTACTATGGGCCCAGGTAACCTGCAGCCTGGGCAGGGCCCGGCAGGCAGGAGAGAAGCCTCCAGCCCCTGTTAAAGGAGGCCGGGGCACTGAAGTGGGGTTCAGAAGACGGGTCTGAGGCTCCTCAGCTCATCAACTCGGGCTCACGTGCTGTGCAGGCGAGCTGGGCATGTCTGAGCGCCCAGCCAGGCCGTCTCCCAGGTGTGTCTGAGCTGGACCGTCTGTGGGCTGAGCACAGGTGCACGAGAATCAGGGGGTCGTGCAGAGCCTGCTGGAGGAGGGCAGTGAGCGGAGATGCACGAGGGCCTCTTGGTCCAGCAGCCTCCGGGTGCCCCCGCGTCCATCCACCGAGGGAGGGTGGGAGCTCATCCCCACGGGACCCCGAATCAGCACACAGGTCACCTCGCAGGGAATAAAGTAACAAAAACCCTTGTTCTCAGGTCAGGTCATGTGTGTACATGCATGTGCCTGTGCCTGTGTCGGTGTATGTACATGGGTGTGCACCTGTGTGTGCCTGTGTGCGCCTGTGTGTGCATGTGTGTGCATGTGTGCACACATGTTCTGGTTCCCTAGTGCCGCTCTGACGAGAATAGACCATAAATGGGGTGGGCTTAACAAACACAAGTTTATTCTTACAATTTGGAGGCTTTAAGTCCAAGTTCAAAGTGCCAGGTTCTAGGGGCTGGGTGAAAGCCCCTCAGCCTTGGGCTTCAGCTCTGCCTCCAGCTCCCAGACCACTGAAGCTAGAGGCGTTTCTTCACTCAGACAGCTGCTGGCTGCTGAGGCCTCCAAGTCCAAGGTTGACAAGTAAAAAGGCACAGTCCTGATGTTACCAAATCACAGGGCAGGCCAGTAACTCAAGTCCAATGTAAGTCCCAAGGTCAGCAGAGCATGGCAGGCTGCTGAACAACAACAGAGCTACATGCAGGGTCCCAGTGTGCCATAGGCTAGAGACTATCCCCAAGGCTTCTCCTTATATACAGGAAGCAGACCACATCTCAAAGACAGCTACTCAGCTGCTTGTGGTAGATCTCACCATGGAGCTGATTGCCAGTCTCATCAAGGGAAATAACTACCACCAGCTGCCCAGCCACTCAGCTAGGCCCAGCCAAGTTGACACACAAACATAACTACCACAGCGCCTCTGTGTCCATGTGTATAAATGCCTGTATGCATGTGTGTCTGTGTGTGCTTGAGTGTGTGCATGTGTGTACATAATGCCTTGTATGCACGTGTACGTGTGTGCATGTGTATGTGTGTGACTGTATGCACATGTGTGCATGTGTGTCTATGTGCATCACTGTGTGTGTTCAAGTGCATATGCATGTGTGCCTAGTATGTGAGTGTGTATGTCTTTATGTGAGTGTGTGCATGTGTATGCCTGTGTACATGAGTACATGGACACACATTTGTATGCGTACCTTGTGTCTGTGTGTGCACACGTGTGTGTGTGTGTCTTTGTGTGTGTGCGCATGCATGTACATGCATTTACTTACTTACAAAGTAGAAGCAGTCCCTGCTTCCAACAGAGGTCTCAAACTATCACCCCTTGCTGCCTCATGGGGTCCCCCGATGGGCTGCCCTGAGGCCCTGTTTCTCTGGGGGACTCCACGCTTTCTCACCCCACTCACAATGGGAGAGAGTTGTGCTCTGATCAGACCAGAAGGCTCCCAGGCCCGAGTCAGGCCACCCTCTCCGCCCCCCATGGCCCTGCACAGGCTTGGGTGGTCGATCTTCCTGTGGAAAGCTGGCTCTGGTAACGGAGCATGTAGTTGGCCGCGTCCTCCTGCAACGATCCCAATCCAATCAGCCCCTGACACGCATCCTGGGAGACCTGGCAGTGCCGCCTCCTAGTCGTCTGAACAGGTTTCCTTCTAATAGGAAATTCAATGATCACGGGCCGTACCCGGGCCTGGCTGGAGAGCTGGAGTCAGGGGAGGCCGATAAGGGCAGCACGGGTCCCTGTGGCCATGGGTGGCTTCCTGGGGTCTATCCACTCAGCACTCCAGTGCCACAGGCCTGGCCTACCCTGTGGAAGGAAGGGAGGAGTGGGACGTGGCGGAATTCTTGGGGTGGCAGTCCCATGGGGCCCTCTAAAAGTCTGCTTTGTGGGGGCAGAGGGCAGTGCAGAAATGCCGAGTGACTGAATGAATGAACTAATGAGTGCCCACACTTCTATCCTCCACAGCAGTGCTGTTAAGGTCAGGTCTGGGTCTGCAACCTCAGAGGAGTCAACAGACGGTTCTGGCCCTGGTTCTAGCCAAGGGTGTCCTCAGGGTTGACGTGGTCAGGGGCCCCCTGGGGACAGGGCAGGCAGGCAAAAGACAGACCAGTACCACGCAGGTAAAACAGAGAGAATGAAGGGGAAGATGGGGTACAGGTTGGAGTGCAGTTTTGAGGGGGTGGTCAGGAGCCATCACCGAGGGGAATTTGCCCAGAGACGTGGGAGCGGACAGAGGGTTCCAGGAAAGGGAGCTCCCAGGTAGGAGCAGTAGGTGGGAGGCAGGGTGAGGCCGGGCGGGTGGGGAGCGGGGCAGAAGGGCGTCCACAGTGGCTGCTCAGCCATTGTCAAGGCTGAACTTGCCTCCGGAGATGGGGCTCTGAGCGGGACAGTGCTGTTTCCTGGCAGGCAGTTACGGGGTCCCCTGTGGCTATCCTGGGAACAAACTAGGGTGAAAGTTGGAGACGGGGAGGCCAGTTCGGGGCTGTGATACCCGGACAACAGATGGTGGGGGGATGGACCCAGAGATAAGGTGGTGATGGGCAGGGTGGATGGCCTTGGGAGGGAGAGCCAACAGGAGTGGATATTTGGAGTGAGAGAAAGAGGGGGTCAGATGATCCTCCAGACTTTGGCCTGAGCAAGGTTTGAAGGGTGCAAGGATGAAGGGGCAGCCTTCAACTGCGGTGGGAAACCCTTGGCAATGTTGAGCTTCAACAATCCACAGGGAGTCGGGGAACAGCAGGCCAGAAGTCCAAAACCAAGGGTCATCAGGCCAAGAGGACACCCAAACTTAACTACCATACGTTCACAGAACTCACAAACCATACTTCCTGTTAAATAGTTTATTAGGGGAGTAACTGGGTACAACTCGGGATCTGAAATGACTCGGAAGTAACAGGGGCAAGTCAGGACACAGCTCTTGGTCGGGACAGCTTCTCTCCCTCTGCTGCTGACCCCACTCAGGCCTTGCTCAGGCATCCTGGGTCGGCAAGCCTCACCCCCACCATCACGCACCACTGCCTCTGTCGCTACTGCTGCTAGCGCTGGCTCTCGCTGTCTTCCATGTTACAGCTCCACTCTCCTGAGCAAGGAGGCTCATTGGTACAGGGACCCCAGGTCCAAAGGACGCACACCACTCCCATCTCCTCTCCTCTTGATGGTAGTCAGGTGCCCCTCTGCTCTGGGATTGGCTCCCTGTTAAGCCTAACAGGATGGGAAAACGGACCAATCCCCTTGTTAGAGTTCCATGAACCTAATTTGCATGGTCCCACCCCCACAAGGAAGAGCTCTGGTAGCATAGTGGCTAAGTCACTTGCCTGCTAACCAGACGGCTAGCGATTCAAACCCACCAGCACTCCTCGGAAGGAAGGTTGGGCAATCCTACTTCCGTAGTGATACTGCCTAGGAAAGCCAAGGAGGGGTCGCTATGAGTCGGGGCCGACTCGACGGCACACAACAACAACAACAACAACCCCCACAAGGATACCACGTGCCTTATTTGCATTGTTAGCAAGCCGTCCAGTCCCCTTGCTGGTCCACAAGCACTTCATTTTCATAGTCCAGTTAGTTGGAAGTTTCAAGGACTGTGGCTGGAAGAGCCATGTTAAGTAACAAGAGAACAAGTTCAACCAGAGTGACAAGTGCTTCCGGCCCTAAACTCAGGAAGGGTGCCACCCACTGTGTCATAAAAGACATCCTCATGATGGTCTCACAACTTTGTCCACAATTTTCTAAAGTCACAAAGACAGTGTTTGTGTGGGCGCCCCTTTGTCAGTTCTGTGCAGGGTCTGGGGGTACCAGCTGAGTCTCCTTCATGGCCACGGATGGCCCTCATCTGATTGGAAGCTATGTTTTCACAACAGGTGGACACATCCTCCCTCTGTTCCCCAGTCAGAGTCCCTGGGTAGTGCGAATGGTTAACTCACTCGGCTGCCACCCGAAAGGGGCAGGGTTCACATCCACCCAGTGGTGGCTCAGAAAGGCCCGTGACCAGGCGACAGGAGAGAATGTCGTGCTGGGCTCTCCAAGGTGCTCAGCACGTGTAGACAAGTGATGAATGGTGGGTGTGGGCCCTGCTGTGTCCATCACGCAAGTCAGGACAGAGCCTAGGGCCCCACAGGGCTGTCGTGGTCCTGGGTAGCTCAGGTCACCAGGCCATGGAGTACTTCCACCTTTACCCCAAGCAAGAGCAGAGAAGACCCAGATAAATGGATCACCAACACCCCCATTAGCCTCTAGCCAGCGAGATTTTAACAGTCCAGCCTGTGGTCTTAGGTGCCTTAGTACCAGAGCTGGGAGTCAAAGGAAAGACTATGGGGACCCAATTTGGGGGCCAAAACCAGTTGCCATTGAACCAACCTCGACTCATGGGGACCCCACGTGTGTGAGAGTGGAACTGCACAGTGTAGTGTTTTCAACATGTGATCTGTCAGAAGTAGGTCGTCAGGCCTCTCTGCTGAGGTTCCTCTGGGACTTGAACCTCCGACCTTTGGATCAGCAGCCAAGCACATTAACTATTTGTACCCCTAGGGAGTCTGATTGTCCACCTGTTGTGAATACATGACTTCCAGTCAGATGAGTGCCATCCGCGGCCACCAAGGAGCCTCGGTGTCTTGTTCAAAATGGTGGACCTCAGCCATTGGACGAGGCTGGTTCTGGAGGGCTGGGGTGGGGCCCAGCAAGGCACCTGGGGAAAGCTCGTTAGGGGTGGATGGAACTGCAGGGGCGCTCGGCCCAGAGCCCTGCCTCTTGAGGTGGTAGACACGCAGTCACTCGCTTGTTCCTTGCAGCGCCTTGTTGCGGGTGTGCCCACGGAGGCCGACCTGGAAGAGGCGACCCTGAGGAGAAAGCTGGAGGAGTTGACCAGCAACGTCAGTGACCAAGGCAGCTCGTCTGAGGAAGAGGCGGCTCAGGACTCGGCGGCAGAGTCGGACAGGAGCACCTCCAGCAGGGGACTCCCGGGGGCAACCCCAAAGGTGAGGCCATGACCGCGGTGCCTTGGCAGTACACAAGCAGAGGTGGGGGCAGAGGTCCGTGCAAAGAGTCCCCAGCCCTCCTCACCCCAAGCAGCTGTCCTAGGTGCCAAGTGCTGCTGCAGCTGAGTACAGACAGATCTTACAGACATCGCAGGTTCGATTCCAGACCATCCAACAAAACGAGTGTCTCAGTAATGTGGGTCACACATACTGTTTGGTTTCCCAGTAGCCTCTCAAGTGTATAATTGCACTATGAGAAAGTGTGAAATATTGTGAGAATGACCAAATGGGACACAGAGACGCAAAGGGAGCACACGCTGTTGGGAAAATGGAGCCGATAGACTTGCCGGAGGCAGGGCTACCACAACCTTCAATTTGTAAAATACGAAGTGTCCACAAAGCACCATAAAGTGAAGCACAATGAAACTAGGCCTGTGGGTCCCACCAGGGGTGCTTTAAAGAGCAGGAGGCACTGATGGGGTCCTGGGGCCTGGTGTCCACAGCAGGGTCTCGGCTGTGTGCACGCCTTCCTCATCAGCAGCCCCCAGGGCTCCTGGGTTCCTTGGCGATCCTCTCATGGCATCTGTCTGCCAGCCTCTGCTCTCATCTGCTCTTGTTCTCATTCTGTAGGGATTGCATTTAGAACCCAGCCCCTGCTGATGCTTAAAGAAAACCCTCTTTAAAACACAGTCACATCCCCGATACAGGGGTTAGCACTCTAACACACATCTGGGGACACAGTCAACCCATGACAGCAGCCAAGCCCACTACTGCTGGCTGGCGGCACTGAGGGCTCACGGAGAGAGCGACACAGAGCGACTGGCCCCGGACCGGGCGGCTGGCTGGCAGCTCTAGCAGCTGTGGGATAAGAGTGCATCAGGCACCTGACGTGGTGAGAATCCTGCAGCTCCTTAAGCTGGTGGTCAGGTGTGGCCCTTCCCGTTCCCAGGTGTGCACAACTGCAGGACTGACAGACAGATGGGAGGCAGAGCTTCCGGGCCCCCAGGGCCACGTCCCGCCTGTCAGAAGCACAGATGAGGAACTATCGGAGCTGGAGGACAGAGTGGCCATGACAGCCTCTGAAGTCCAACAGGCGGAGAGTGAGGTACGCCCATGGGTAGGCGGAGCTTGTTGTGATGCAAAGATGGATAATGAGGGTGTGGCAGGCATGACACCACGAACAAGCCGCTGAGACCCCCTTCCACATCAGCTCCGTGTGCTGATGTTCACGAAGGCAGAGAATGAGTCTAGGGGTTTCTTTGGGCACCTTCCCCCACCACCCTAGAATAGCCCCCCACCCTTTATTCCAGTTTGACTTGGTGAGGGCAGCCAGGGCTCTCCACCATGAAGAAAGGGGCTGAGTGCTTACCACTCCCTGTCCCATGCAAAGCAGCCCAGAAGCATCCAGAATTTAGGGCACCCAGGATTCAGGACAGGACGCTGACCCCAAAGATCACCCTGTGAGCCCAAGCTGTGGATGGGTGGTTGAGTTTGGGTGCAGGACGTGCCAGTGGTGTAGAAAGGCCAAAGGACGGAGCCAAAGCATCCAGGTCCCCAGGGACAGCTGAGAAGGTTGGAGAGGCACCAAGAGGAGAGTGGTGGCCTCAGAGCTCAGTGTCCCACCCCTTCTCTCACTTTCTTCTCATCAGCGAGTGCTCATCCCTCTGCATGAAAGGGCCACCTCCCCCCGAGCTGTTCATGTCAGGAGGGTGAGCCCGGCAGAGGACATTCATCCTCTGTCTGTCCTGCACTCGCAAGTCCCTGCTAGATGCCTAGAAGGTGGCGGGAGATTGCAGGACACGGCAGGCACAGAGGTGAACATCTTGGCCAGAGCACCACCTGCATGGAGCCCGCCTTGTGCTGCAGAGACAGACACAAACAGCCAACACCACTCCGTTCACGAGCAGGGCTATGAAGCATTACACAGCCCACAGAGCACTGGATAAGTGGGTAAAGAGCAGTAGTGGGAGAAGAAGCTGCAATGGGGCGCCTAGGAGAGAGGAGTCTGGGCCAGAGGACAGCATACGCAAAGATCTCAGGCTGGCATCCAGCTTGCTGTGTCACGGGTCCCAGCGGAACCCTGAGACTGGGGCAGAGGCTGACGGGAGAGCAAAGGCAGGCCCAGTAAGTGGGCAGATCACAGAGGGCCCTGAGGGCCAGGGAGGACTGTCGGGAGCTATTGGAGGGATCTGAACCAAGAGGGATGGGCCTGGTTTCTGCGTTCCCAACCTTTCCTCTGCCACTGTTTGGGGAGGAGGGCCAGAATGGTGCCAGTGGGGGTGGGGCAGAGTGCCTGCAGCCAGGTATGACTTGAAATTGTGTCAGGAAAGCCAAGCTCAGCCAGCCTCCATTGGAACCTTTGACCCATAAGGAGGGCTCTGCCCAGCAAGACCTGGCCCTGTGTCACTGCCCCTCCTTCAGTCCCTGACAGGACCTGGACCTCCTGATACACCTCTAGAAAATGTACAGATCCCCTTTCTCCTAACACCTGGGGGCGGCTGGCAAGGAGCACCCCACCTGCTCCTCAGCAACCACAGAAGATGAACGGGACCACCAGAAGGAGCCTCAGCTCGGGCCACCCATCATAAGAGGAAACATACGTAAAATTGGCTCCATAAAGGAATCAGGGGCAGCTGCTCTCTCCATCCTATATGAGTGCCATCTGTCTGTCTGTCTGTCTTCTCTCAGGTTTCCGACATTGAGTCCAGGATTGCGGCCCTGCAGGCTGCGGGGCTCACAGTGAAGCCCTCTGAAAAGCCCCGGAAGAAGTCCAACATCCCAGTGAGTGGAGGAGCAGGGAGGTCCCTGGGGGTGCGGGTGCCCAGAGATCTCCCAGGAGCCCAGGGCCACCACTGTGGGCTGAGACCAGGAGCGCTGGGCCAGCCACCTCCCTTTGCCTTGAGCAGTCAGTCTTTGTTTCCTAAGAGCCAGTTGTTAGCCCACGTCACACTGTGATTCTTCTTGGTTTGCCACCTGTCACTGTTTCTAACTGAGGATGACTCTTGGTGAGGGAACCTTCAGCCCCACTATGAGAGTCTGGAACACACACAGTTGAAAGTCCTAAGGGGAAAAACTAAGTGCCAAGATCTTATGTCAGAAGACGTAATAAAATACCATTTTAAGATGGTGTGACTAGAATAAGGAGCCTTCGTGGTGCAGTGCTCAAAGCTCTTGGCTTCTAATCAAAACGTTGGTAGTTTGAACCCACCAGCCACCCTATGGGGGAAAGATGAGGCAGTCTACATCATTAAAGATCGGACACTCAATGGGGTGGTTCCACTCTGTCCTGTTGGGGTGCTATGAGTCAGAATTGACTCGATGGCAAAGAGTGACTAGAATAGATGGGTGGAGCCTAGGGGCACACCCCCACACTCCCTAGGATCAGAAATTCTTCTCTCCTGACTCCAGTCTCAGCAAAACCACACAGGTGAGAATAAAAGGGGCTCTTAGCAGAGTCTGAGGCAGGGTGTGTAAATAAAATACAGAATACCTGCTAAGTCCAAGTTTCAGACAAACAAGGAAGAACTTTCCAGTGTAAGTATACCCCATGCAACATTTGGGACATACTTACACTTAAAAAGAACATCCATTCTTTGTCTGTAGTGAGTGGTATTTTGTATTTTCGTTGCTACATCTGGCCCCCCCAGTCTGAGGGCGCTAGAGTAATGTGGGAGAGGGAGGGCTGGCATGCTAGCCCAACACCTTTGACCAAGAATTTGAAGAAAACAGCCAAGCCTTCTTCTTTGTCCTCCAGATATTCCTTCCTCGACTTGCTGGGAAATCTAGCCAGAGCCCCAAGGATCCAAATCCAGACGCTTCAAGTGAGGTCAAGGTAGGTATCACTCTGTCCAAACTCGAGACATTGGACAAAGAACAAAAGATGGGCACAAGTTGGCAGAAGAATGACAAGTCCTTGGGCAGCTACAGCCCCTGGCGTGGGGCCCTCAGGTGCACAGACTTCAGCGCCGTCAGCTCCTGAGGGCCACACACTGACCCGGGCTCCTGTGGAGGGGAAGTCCCGGGGAATCTGATGAACGGGAAGCGGGGCACAAAGGGAAGGAAGCAGGATCTGATGCCAAACAGAGTCCCACGGAGGCAAACCTTGGCTCCATCCTCCCAGAGAGCTCTCAAGACTTCAGTTAACTCCAGTCATGCTAGGTTGGGTGAGGGCTGGTCCATTCACTCCTCTGCCTGTGCCTTGATGCTGCACGCACACATTCCTGGTCACTCCCGACCCTCCCTGCACGGGCACAGCCTGGGGACAGTCCACCTGAGATGCAGGGCTGGACACAGAGCTGGACCGTTGACTCCTCTGCCCGCATCCACAGTGCAGGACAGCACACATTTGCAATCACTCCTGACCCTCCCTGCACAGGCATGACCTGGAGACAGCCCACCTGAGACACAGGTGCTAGCTGCTGGGACAGACACTCCCAGGAGCCCAGGAGCACAAAAACAGCAAAGGGCTGTGGGGGTATGGGTGACCCTCCAGCCCAATGACAGGAAGATGGCAGGTAATTAATGGGGAGACAGAGCACCCTGGAAGGGTGCACCATTGAGGCCACCTGAGTTTAGGTATGACTAGGGGTTGCCAATGCCTGTCACCCCAGAAGGAGCCAGGTCCTTCCTGAAGGCTAGGGGCGGTCAAAGTTCTTGTTCAGGGTCACACAGATCCTAAGCAACAAAGAGGTCTCAGCTCCAGCCCCCTGATCCCGACACGCCCTGCCCTTCACTAGGCAATGGTGTACCCCAAAACCAACCAGAAAAATTCCAGAAATCCAGACATTAGATAGCATTTCTCAGGGAACTAAGTCGTTTTATCTCTCTTTCTTCACCCCAGAAAAGGCAAAAACAGAGAATGAATTTCCTAATCATTCTATTATCCGATTTCTTAATTAGCAAGAAAATGAGTCTCAGCTCACACTGTGTGCGGGAAGAAAGGATGTGGGATGAGTGCCAACTAGTTCCCCACTATCCCTGTGAAGAGGGTCACTGGCCCATTTTCCAGGCGAGGAGACTGAGGTTCAGAGAGGATATGTAGGTTGCCTGTGTCACCCAGTGGCAAGTGGTAGAGCTGGATTTGAACCCAGGTCTGTGGAGCTGAGATCTGGACTCTTTCCGCTATACCCCCAAAGTTGACCATTGTCCAGAAGCAATGCCTTGCTCTCTCTCTGCAGAACTTTGGTGCGTCATGTATTGATAACATGCGTTTCAACATGGTCAAGGGTTCAAATGTGGCCACAGAGCAGAAGGCAGTTGACCTCACTGAGTTAGAACATGAGAGAAAGAGAGACGTCCCGTTAGCCCTCAATGATCCTAAAATCCGCATGTTTGGTGAAGCCCCGTCCTCTTTCTTCCAGGTCATGGCTGTGCCCTACCTTCTGAAGAGGAAGTTTCATTACTCCCCTAAAAGTCCAGGTAATAGCCACTATCTCCCCCGTGCCCAGGTCTGGAACAGGAGCTCGGGGGAGTGGCCATTTCTCCAGACCATGGGACACCCCATCTCATGCCCAGACACCCCTGGTGCTGCCTGGACACCCTCAGTGAGCTGGTTTCTAGGGAGCGGGGATTTGCTGCTCGAAGCAAACAAAGGTGCTGCTGTTATTGCTTGCAGTGTTTCGTGACATAAATTGTCCTAAAATGGTAGTTTTCATCCTTCATACACAAAGTGGGGAATGTATCTTAGCCTTCCTGGATGCTGCGGTGAGGCCCCTGGTGTGAGAATGGTGAAGGTCGGCAGTTCAAACCCACCCAGGGATAGCAGTAAAGATGGCCTCTGAGAACACCCACCAGAGATCAGTTCTGCTTTGCAATGTGAGGTCACCATGAGGCATCAACACCACGGTGCTGGGGCTGGTTCTTGATGTCTCTGTGGGGACAAGGAAGGGGACTTTGTCCTGGGTGGATGTGGTCCTATGTCTGCACAGCCCACTGCCGAGGCTGCAGGTCCTTTGTGTCCTGGTCACCCATCCCATCCCTGTCCTGGCAGCCCGACACGGTCACGAGAGGGGAGCTACCCTTTCCCGGCTCGCGCTCTGTCCCCTCTGCCTTTGGCCTTCTTTCAGGCCCTATGTGATTGTCATGTCTGTCACCCTGCGTCTGAGCATTGTCCCTGTCATACAGTCCTTCAAACTCCACCAGAGTGGCAATTCTACAGGTCCCTGCCATGCCCCGCCTCTGCTCACACACAGTCGCTGGCTCCCACCTGCCGCCACATTGAGTCAGAGATCTTAGCCCAGACTCCCTGCCCCTCGCCCTCAGCCCGCACACTGGCCCCCAGCCCAGCCCTGCCTTGCCTCTGCGGATGCACTTGTCTGCACTGGATGGCATGCTCTTCCCAACCACACATCGACGTCAGAGTCCTCTACACAAAGTCAAAGCAGCATCTCTGGACCTTCTGCCCAGCGTGCCCGCTTCTCCCATCTCTGCCACGGGGTTCCCAGCTCATGTTTGGTCGATCCACAGCAGAGCTGGGGCCGGGGCCTCTGTGGGGAATCCCTGTCCAGAGCCACCTGCAGAAGTTGGGCAGCAAGACGCCGTGCTGGGTGCTGCCAGCAGGGCTCCTGGGGAACCACGTGCTGACCCTGAAGGCTTGTCCCAGGGGCCTCATGGGCTAGAACCCCCCAGGAGGGCATGTGCACAGCAGGACACTGGGGCTGGTCCCTGAGCCCTCTTCATGGCCCTGCAGTGGTGCCATGGCGAGACCTTGTCCAGTCCTCAGCCTCCGGTGGTCAGTCCGCGGCCAGGAGACCACCACCAGACCCTGCAGCTCATGGCATTTCAGAGTCTCAGGAGCACAGCTGAGACTTCTGACCTTCATGTCCCCGTTCCAGTCCCTGCAGAGTGTGACCAAGGTCAACCCACACAAGCAGGTTCAGGGTCTTGAAGGACCACATGTGTCCTCGCTGTTGAGGAGCTGTGATGGCCTCGGTTACAAATCCTTCAGCAGAGGGTCGTCCTGGGGCAGGGACATAGAGTGAGGCCAGGCAAAACTTACCCTGCCCAGAAAGTGGGGTATGTAAGCCAGCTTGAGGGGAAAAAATGAGATTTGTAGCATCTGCCCATTTCCATGGTGTAAATGCTCCCAAGCTGCCCGTGAGACTTCAGTGAACACAAGCTGGGGAGAGCTGTGCACAGCCAGCTCACACGCCCTGTGAGCCGCTCCAGACATACCTCAAACCATGCGCCAGGCGGGGTCCCAGCATATCAGCTCGCATGCCCCATGAGCCACTCCAGCCACCCCTACATGGAGCACATACCTTGTACATGCCACATGCCAGGTGGGGTCCCAGCATGAGGCACACAAAGGTGGTGAAAGGCTGGCATCTGCCCCCATGGGAGTCTGCTCACTCGTGGGTATGAGCATGAGCAGTTAACTAGGGTTTGTGGCCCAGTGCCCCCCACTGTAAAGCCATGGACCCTAGGACAGGTCCTGGGTTCTGAGGGTCTAAAGTCCAAGGCCCTTCTACCCCATTATCACATCACAGGATTAATGGGAAAGTAGGGGATACACCCATCACTAAGTAATAAAGCTATTCAAAGTGTCAAAAAGCAAACTGGCTACACAGTGGGTTCAGCCATCGCAATGGCTGTCAGGCTGGCGCAGGACGGGCAGTGATTTGTTCTGTGGGACGTGGGGTTGCTATGAGGCAGGACTGACTTAATGACACCTAACAGAGCTCTGGTGACATAGTGCCTAAGGCACTTGACTGCTACCCAAAAGACTGGAGGTTCAAACCCCCAGCCACTCCTCGGAAGGAAGGTGGGGCAATCTACTTCCATAGTGATACCGCCTCAGAAACCCAAGGAGGTGTCGCTATGGTCAAGGCTGACTCGACGGCACATGACAGCAACAACAACAACAACAACAAGGTGACAAAGTGCTGTGCTGCTTTGTCATCAAGGGCCCACAGAGAGGCAGGACAATGAACAAGGCAGGCCGAGGAAGAGTTGATGCATTTGAGCTGCGGTGCTGGTGAAGAATCCTGAAGTCCCATGGGCCGCCAGAGGAACGAGCAAACCTGTCCTGCAGGAAGCGCAGCCGGAGTGCTCCTTGGAAGCGAGGATGGCCAGCTTTGTCTCCCGCACTCTGGTCACGTTGCCAGAAGGGACCACTCCCTGCAGGCCATCATTGGTGAGGCGGACGTCAGCAAAAAAGGGAAGACTCTCAATGAGGCGGACTGGCACGGTGACTGCAGCAATGGAGCAAGCAAGGCAGCGAGCGCGCGGCCGGCGCGGGACCAGGCAGGGCTTCGCTCTGTTGTAGGGTTAGGGTGGTCTCTAGGAGACGGTGCCAACTCGACAGCACCTAACAACAGCAGCAACAGCCGAAGCAAAAGAGAAAGAACGGACTGAACCATTTGTTTCCAAAGCCGCTAAAATGCAAATGCTTCGTTAAAAGAATTTTCACGCCGCAACAGCTGGGGAGACGTTGATTTTTGTGCTGCTTTTCAACCTTTCGGAGGTGAAGGCCGCTCTTCAGGGTGAGCTTGTGCCAATGAAGGCCCTCTGTTTTCCCTCAGGCAGCGACGAGGACGCCTTTGACCGGCAGTCAGCGTACCGCGGGTCCCTGACACAGAGGAACCCCGGCGGCAGGAGGGGCAGACCCGACCACATCTTTGCGGTAATGCTTTTATCTTGTTTCTTGAAGAGGCTTGAGAATTCTGTGACCTGTAAGATTTCCATATTTATATGAAAATATTGGGATAAACCAACAAGAATGAAAACCAGGGACCCCAACAAAAGGTGAAGTGAAACCTGCAAAAGGTTTCAAGGAACCAGAGTGTGTGGCAGCGGAGCACGACAGACGGGGACAGCAGGCGGGGCTTGCAGAAGGGCCTTGCTGGCCCTGGGGTGGTCCCAGCTCCGGGAAATGTGACAGTCCCTGAGACCACGAGCACACTCTCCCCGGAACCCCAGTGGCCCCCTCCCCCATGCTATAAAGGTTGTCCGGCTGAATCCCATTGAGGACAGTCCCCTGACTTCTTGGGAGGGGGCTCACTGAAGACCCCAGGAAACAGGAGTGCTCAGCCGGGTCGTAGCTGTGTGAACACTCTCATGTGTCTATCAGTGTGCACACTCACGTGTATGTATCTGTGTGTATGTGTGTGTGCACATGTGTGAGTGTATCAGTGTGCAAACTCACATGTGTGTATCTCTGTGTATGTGTGTGCACACATGTGAGTGTATCAGTGTCACATTCACATGCAGGTACCCATGTGCACACTCGTGTGTATCTATGTATGTGTGTCTGTGGGCATACACGTGCATGTATATGTATGTGCACACCACGTGTGTGCGTATCTGTGTTCACGCCTGTGTGCATGCCAGTCTATGCAGTTACATGTGCATGTGTTTGTCCATAGAAGCCCGTGATGGCCCACCGGTCCTAAAGGGGAGACTCCCCGGGAACAAGAGGAAACAACAAAGGAGCCCCACACTCCCTCCCTCCGTGCGCTCCGCATTTTTTGTCCTAAAACAAGTCACGCCACCACGACGCACCGCCCTCCACCATGAGATAGCCTCACTGCTCAGAGCTCCGACCACTGCACCCCCTCACGGCTCCAGGGCCCCTCCTGCCCACACTTCATCTGTGACAAGAGACCAGCACGGGTTTTTTCTTCCGGGACAGTGAAAATGCTTAAAGGGCACACAGCAGACCTCCAGCAGGGTGACCTTAACCTCTGCTGTCTGGCTTTGCTGGCGGTCATGAACGGAACTGCAAGGACAATTGAGTCACGGCTCCAGCCCCAGGTCTCTCCTTGACCACGTCAGCTCGAGTACAGGAGCGGGGACCTCTGTGAGGGTGTCCTTGACCACGTTTACCCGGGCACGGGCGGGGGTGGGGATCTCTGAGTGGTTGTCGTCAGAGAGAGTAAGTGGACTGAAACGGACAGCTAAATAACAAGGGAGGACAATGTCCCCCTCCCCCTACACACACGTGTTCTGCAAGCTCACCTGCAGCTCCGGGGCCAGGAGAAACCATGCCGTGGGAGGCGGCGGGCCCTGGCGGCAGGAAGCCTTGGAGCCAGCACTCGGCTACTAACTGAAAGGCTGCCAGTTCGAAGCTGCCCAGAGGCCTCGGAAGAAAGCCTAGTGATCTGAAGGGGCGCAGCCTGGGGAGCCCTCAGAACCCGTGTGCTCTGCACGCAGGGGCCGCCATCGGCTGGGCCCAGCTCCACAGACGGGGCTCCGACTCCCTGGTTTACTCCTGAGGCAACTTGGCTCAGCTCTAAGTTTTCTCACCCAGATCGTTCAGTGTTTTTATCCGACTGAAACAGCGACTCAAAGAAGAAAACGGAGAAGCGATGCCTGAGAGCCTTTGCCAGTGAGATGCTGGGCTCCCTGCCGACCGGGGCCCCGAGCGGCCATCGTCCCCTGTGCTCCTTCCACCCCAGCTCCTGCACCACAACCCCCAGGCAGCGCTCGGGCGGGTGCGTCCCCACGACCATCCCCCAGCAGACCCGAGGGCAAATGCCTCTCTGCAGAGCCGGCATCTGGTGGCCCCGGGTGACCAGGCTTCACATGCTCTGGTCATTGTGGGAAAGAGCGAGCAGACCGTCCGCAGGATGAAAGCCACTCCCAAGCCGACGCTCAACGCGAACGTGAAAGGCTTCCTCGGGACAGGGAGCAGCTTCACTTTTACATGCACCCTCCTAATTCACAATTCAAGTCAACGTGGGTTCCGGGACAGTCAAAGAGGAGACAGACAGTCCCAGTGGCCCTGAGCGTGCCCCTGAATGAGAATCTACTAGGCACACCGAGTCCTCCGTGCTGCTCCTTGGACCCCGACCTTCCTCCATTACTAATCTGAGCACCGAGAAAGTCCCGCTCGGAAACGAGCATTTGGCGCTCTCTTTTAGGAGGCGCCTTCTCAGGGGTCACAGAGTCCTTAGTGCTGATTAGAGTCAGACCGTGCATGCATTCATTCAGTGGGATGACATAGGGGCACACACCCCTACACGCATGTGCACACCAACACATGTACATACACACTCATGCACACCCTCATACATATACTCACGCTCATATACACGCATACACACATGCACACACTCACATATACCCACACACCCATACACACATGCACACACACATAAACACACTTATTTACACTTAGACACACACTCCATACCCCTCCGAGAGCCACACTCCCGTGGTGGTGCCTGAGGACGAAGCTTCCAGTCCCCAAAGTCTCAGTGTCCATTGCCCCGGCAACCCTGGTCCTCAGCCACACCCTGACAGTGACAAGCCACAGGACCCACCTCCGAGACAGGCCCACCCTCCACACCCGTGGGGCTCAGCCTCTCCATCCTTCGTAAGAACCCCCTGGGGACTGGTAACAGCACGGGTACATGAGACATCCAGAAATGCCAATGGAAGCCACCCAGAGGGCAGGGCCCAGGGTTGGTACAGTATGCAAAGCTCGGCCTGGGGTGGGACCAGAGCCATGTGGAGGAAGTGCAGAGCTGGCGCCCCTCACCCCACCCACAAGGACCCTGGAGAGCGAGGAGCTGTTTCCCGGCCAGCCAAGTTTCTTTGAGCTTCAACTCAACTGCGCTGAAATGAGCTGTCGCTTGGCTTATGGCAACACAGTTATTCAGGGGAGCACGGTGGCTGTGTGGCAGAACCCTCGCCCTCCACGCGGGAGACTGGGGCTCGATTCCTGGCCAGTGCACCCCATGTGCAGCCCCCACCCACCTGTCCATGGAGGCTGCCAGGTTGCTAGGCTGCTGAGCAGGGGTCCGCAGATCTTCCAGACTAAGTCAGACCAGGAGCAGAGGCCTGGTGCTGTTCTTCCAAGAATGAGCCCGTGAGGACCCTGTGGGTGCTGACAGTCCAGCCCATGACCAAGCATGGGCCGCCACATTTTACTGTGTTTACACGGGGTCACCTGGAGTCAGGGGCCAACTCAACGCCGCCTCCAGCAACAACATCAACATTCAAACTCTGGCTGATGTAGGTCCCTGGTCGCAGGGTCAATCCGAGAGCAACGTGCATTTGCTCCGCACGATGTAACAATGACCTGTGACAGCTGGAGGGTGCGGTGGCTATAGTGTCGGGGGCAAGGAAGGAGGTCAGAGTCGTCTGAGTGTGCTGAGGCTGCACGGAGCCCAGGGCCTCGCTCCGGAAGATGACAGTCGGGCATGAATGAGGGTTGGGCCCTTCTTCATCCTGCCGGGAATTTTGTCTCCTTCCCTATCTGTGCTTCATTCTTCAGAAGTGTGTACAGTTAACCGATCGCTGTTATGATAAGCGCAGTGTGTTATATACTAATAATAAGCCTGTCGGTTTTATCACAATAAACCTGTTGATGGGAAGCAGTGATGAGAAGTCTCAGGGAGGAGGGAGTGGACGTTTCCACTACGGCAGCAGGTGCATCGGGCGCAGCCGTGAGGAGCCGTGCAGGTAACGAGGACAGAGGAGCGCGGGAGAAGATTAAAGCCAGGGGTTAGGCTTGGGCGGCTTTGCTGCTTCCCCTTCACCTAAAAACAGTGGCTTAATGAAGACAGAGCGCAGCAGAATCGCCCATGCGTCCAAGAGCAGTTTTCGGGCTCTAATGGACACTTCGACGTTTGCCCAAAGCAAGTGGAGAGGGGGCAGTGAAGCCGAAATGAAATTATGTCACCCAGAAAGGAATGCGTCACGTTGCTGATGAGAGCCGGAAAGAAGGAGAAAGGAGAAGACAAAGGCGTCCTCTCCTGATGCCACCCTGGGAGGGAGGGAGACGCAGTGAGGGACAGGAGGTGACACAAAGATGCCGCGGGGGGCCTGGGGGCCGGCTGCTTCCTGGGGGGGCTATAAAGGAAGTGAGCGGCCGTCTGGGCCTCCACTCCTCACCAGCACCGCAGGGCCTCTTGTCCGCTCCTGGGAACTGGGTGAGTAGCTCGGGCACGGGGCCACTGCCGAGTGGTTCCACCATGTAAAATCTCCTCCCAACCTGGGCGAGGGTTGGATTTAACCAGGACGTAGCTGGAAGGACAGGAGCTATCGTGAGGCCGTCCAAGGTGAAGGCACCCTGTGCGGACAGGACCCCCAGCTCCCAGGACAGCAGGTCCTTGAGGGCCAGGAGCTAAGCATTGCTGATGATCTCCCAGGATGGGCTTACTGTGGGTCCCCAGAACAGCTCACCCTTGTGTCCCCGGATGGGCTCACCTGTGGGTTCCCCAAGACAAGCTCACTTATAAGTCCCCAGGAAGGGTTCACTATGTGCATCCCTGGGATGGGCTCACCCATGGGTCCCCCACGACAGGCTCACCGATGGGTCCCCTGGGGCGGGCTCACCCGTGGGTCCTCCAGGACGGGCTCACCTAGGCCCCCAGGAATGAGCACACAGCCCCCTACTGTCATGGCTTGACCTCATCACTGCCTGCCCAGCTTCTTCCAGGTTGGGGATACCCCACCCCACCCAGTGTGTGACACCCTAGCAGGTCTCTAAGCAGGAGAGGGGGTGGGGTGAGGGTAGAGATTCACACATGCACACACATGCACACACATGTCACACCCCTCCAAGGGCCACACTCCCAGGTGATGGCCAAAAAAGAGGCTTGCAGTGCCCAAGGTCTGTTTCCAATTTGGTCCGATTCATGGTGATTCCAACTCACAGTGACTCCATGGAACAGAGTAGAAAGAACTGCCCCATAGGGTCCCGGGCTGTGGCCTCCACAGGAGCAGACTGCTGGACCTTTTGTCCTGTGGAGGCTGGTGAGTTTGAACCACCGATCTTTTGGTTCGCAGCTGAGCGCTTTCCACTGTGCCACCAGGGCTGTCAGGAGAGAGGTGAGGGTGTGCCCATCTCGCTGCTGAGGGAGGGGTCCTCTCCTGAGACTCGGGGGGCTGCAGCATCTTCTGTTGCTCCTGGAGGGCCGAGGGCTGGGGCCGGCCCACTGGCCAGGCACCTGCGGCAGGTGGGCACTGCCAGGCAGGTCAGCGCCTCTGCTCCGGCCGGGCTGCAGGTGGAGTTTCGGGACCTGTTTGTGTCCATTTGAAATCGCAGCAGCTGCTCCTCCCTTCGCCTTTGGGGCTGTCCACTGCAGGAGAGCAGAGCACATGGCCTGTGGGTTTCCGTGGGGACCCCAGAGCTGCCCGGCCCGGACAGCAGTGAGCTCTCCATGACAGCCGAGGACACAGCTCTCCCCCTGAGCTGCTGCAGGGGGTAATCCTCGAGTGGGTGGGACAGGCTGGAGGCCCCAACCGGGTACAGAACGAGCCCTGTGTGGGGTCCCACGCCGCGCCCAGCCTCAGCGCCCCCAGCCCTGCACGGGGTCCCACCCCACGCCCGGCTTCAGCGCCCCCAGCCCTGCACGGGGTCCCACCCCACGCCTGGCCTCAGCGCCCCAGCCCCGCATGGAGTTGGGCCAGCCACCCCCATCACGCTTCAGCTCCCTAAGCT